AATATATACTACTAAACCATTGTTCTTTTGTTGCAATAGTGTGTAATATAAATTCGCAGCATGTTCTAGCTAGCAAAGTTACTAATACAAAAAAATTTGTTTCCCCTTATCAGTGAATATCCGCGTGTCTATATCAACGCATGCATCAGTCGTCCCATCACAAGACTCCAGGCGCATATAGACGATGTATCATCTATATGCCATAATTGCTGTGATCTTAACCCTACAAATTATTGTGCAGTGGGTACCGTACCATTTCATATTGGCAATCAATTGACCTTTTGATCGGGCATGAGTAGTGACAAGAAGCTGCCGCTGAAACTCTGTATTAATTCATCCTGGATCGATCCTATGAATGTAGCAGGATTATTTGTGCTGATTCTGCATCATGCATTAGCGTATCATATAGATGTCACAGTAGCATTACTGTTATGATCGATCTTTCTTATATAACGGAAATTAAATGGTTTAATTACATCTTTGATCTCGCCGATAGACATACGACCAAAGTAATGAAGCTTGCAAGTCTTCTGAACCCCATAAAATTATCAGACTTCAGAGATACATTCAGAGCATGTACTAAACGAAAGAGAAAATTTCTTTAATGCCCTTAAAATTTTAGCCGATCCCTTCTATGTCTCTGAATTTTCTTCACTCGCTTGTATACCTCTGAATTTTGATTTGGATCTCTTCCATACCCTTGCCGTCAATTGATCGCTAGTTGACCATTTAATAGGTATAGAAAAGTTAGTTTTGCCCTTCAATACGTGAGGAATATGTAGAAATTTGTAAACTATATTGTTGGAAGCATAGAAATTTATTGTGTGATTATAATATTCATAAGCTTGTTGTACATAGAAATTTTAATAAATATTAAAAAGTATGTGTAGCATTTTCTTTAAATCATAAACATAGTTTTGAAAAGCATTCCTATATAATATATAGGACAGGAAAAAAATATTGAACTACCATAAAAAAATGCTACATATAATCTTTTAATAAGTAAATAAATATTAGTTTTTATGTCATTATGTAAAAATAAACTTTGTCATGAATAATACCTTGTACAATAAAATCATGAATATAATAGTCTTATATAACAAAATTATACACTTCCAACAATATAGCTAGTCTACAATATCCAGATTTCCTTCATGTGTAAGGGCAAAATGGTCATTTTCATAGGAATTAAACATTCAAATAACGGTCAACTAATTGAATGGGTATGAAAGGGATCAAAACCAAAATTCAGGGGCATACAAGAAAATGGACAAAACTCATAGGGATAGAAGGGATTGGTTAAACATTCAGGGGTATAGAAGGAAATTTCTCTAAACGAAATGGGGATTCTCTACAGGAGGACAATGATAAGGAACTAGGTCCCGATCTTCTGATATATATATTGATAACTCTCAATTAAATGGCGGAAACTTGACACACATGATCCAGCTTCCGATCAATATAATTCGAACCCTACAATCAAAGCACCACATCTCCTTTGGTTATCAACCGTGCCCTGCCCAGTTGACCTCATCGAGAAGACTAATCCCTACATGCGAATCGAAGAACACGAGTAAGAACAAGGTAGATTATTGCAACTCGATTGCATATGAATTATTAAGCACTCGAATTTAGGGTTCCACAAACCGAACAAGCGACAAAACTGCAATGCCAGAAATAATCTAAGCAAAACCCGACCTGAAACTATGATGGCTACTGAATAAATATGATTAGGGATGTCCTAGGGTTTACCTAGGGCACCACCCCCTTGGGCTTAGCCCATGATACAATTACAAGGCCCAAAGCCAAATCAGACTCAGACTGAATGAAGTATATGGCTTGTTTTGCAGATTCCCAATGGCTGAGAAGAAATTTTGATGTGGGACCAAAACCATCTGAAAGTAGACTTCATAAAATTTTCAACAAGTACTCGTGAGCCCTAAGATTCATTCTAGATCGGTGGTTAGGTCCGTTTAAAGTTGATACTATTAGGAGACCCGAATCCGAATCCAAAACGTGCAGACCTTCATCTGTTACCTTTTGTAGACTAAAAGTGATGTGGTGAGGTAGGAGTAAATTTGGGGAAGATCTTGGTTTGTTCCCCAGTCAACTTTTTTTTGATCATCCAAGCACTTTGTTATCCATCACTCCTTTCCTTCATCAATCAAGTATTTCTGCAAACCAGAATACATGAAACTCATAGTGCAATAACGTTTGTTCAAATATATAGCACATAAATCTCTCATATAGATCATGCACACATTTGGTGTATAAATATAAGGTATGCATGGTCATATCTGAGCTAGTAATATCCTCATTATACAACGATCTTCAAAGATACTAGCAAAATACTCATGTGTTGCACCAGACTCATTATAGTATTAGATAAGTTGATTAAAACTAAATCATTGATCTCAAGTTCTGAATATTGATGATAGGACAAACAGTATGTTGTATAGTGCATATGCATAAAGCAAATAAAGCTTCTCACTTTAAGTATGTTGATCAAGAATGATAGGTCCATAAGATAGGTGATGGTCCTCACTTGCCAGATAGATAGGGGTGGCATAACAACCACCACCACAAGCATCTTTTAAGATAGTATATATATATTTAGAGCTTTCCCTTTAATATATATGTTTCTTTCTAATCCGTCACTCTAGTGTCTACCAGCCACAAAATGATCTAATTCTGTTGTATATTTTCATTTGCAAAATTGTTTTTCCTAGTTCAGCTCTGCTTACCTTTTGAAGGAATATGATTTTGTACAGTTTGATCTTTTGTTTCAGACAATGTATGAAGGATTTTGTATCCCTTGAACCTTGTCTTTAATCTTTATTATGAATATTGAGTTTTTCTTTAAAAAAAAGACCACAAAATGGAGTCTAAAAGGTAGTACTAGCCAATTGAGATTTGTCCAAAAAGACCATAAAATGGAATCGATACATATTTAGTGAAAAATCTAAAAACTATTGTAGGATTAAAAAGTGGACGTCTGAGATTTATCCACATCATCTTGAGTAAACCCACTTTTAGATCCTACGGTAATTTACATATTTTCCATGTGATTTGTATTATGTATTTTCTCTATTTTTGTATGTACTAGCAAAATGCCTGTTACAACAGGCGAAGGAAATTTTAATTGTTTGGATAAAATAAAATTTTAATCATGCACACATTTTGTATATGCGTGAATGATATTGTTATCAGCGTAGTATAGGGTGAATCTACCATCACTATAATCTAGACAGGTGGGATCATAGGTCAGTCATCCCTCCTCTCTCCCAACCATTTCATGTGTATTCCTCCACACCTTTTATTAGGAGAAGACATTGCAGAATGTTGTTTTGGTTATTTTTAAAATGCCAAAACTCATGTGTCTTTTTCTGCTTCCTAAGCACCAGCGTCCTTAAAAGGTTGTATTTGGGTTATTTTCCTTTTTCATTTCATCTAAATTCCATGATTTTTGCCTTCACTGATATTCTAAAGTTTTCTTGCCGAAGGGCTCTCCTCCAAATTCAAGTATCTATTCCTTTATTCAAATACTCCTTCCTTAAAGCAATACCGTCAAAAAAAAGTTCCTTTAAACTTCCATTTCCGAAAATAAAGCAAAAACCCACATATTCATAGAGTCCATGAACTACATGTTAAAATTTATCTTCAAATCCTAAATAGCCTCCAAACAAATTCTTTTGCATTGCATCCCTTTTAGATTCTATTAAAATCATCCCCTCCAAAATTTCAGAAAACTATTCTATTTCTTTTGGGCCGAAATCCCTTCAACCGGTCATCCTTCTTTTTCTCTCTACCACGTTTTCTCCCTCCTGGGTTGATTCCATCCCCTTGATTTCTGGGCCCTTCAGGCCTTCTCTCCCTTACACGGCCTAGCCAGGATGTGGCCCAGCTGATCCAACCGTCTCCTTCCTTCCAAAGGGCCCATGTGGCACGTGTTAGCACGTCGTTGCCGCCCCTGCCGCAAGGGCACTGCCACCGTTTTGCCGAGTCAAGAGGAACCACCACCGTGTCGTGCTCCTCCTCCTCCACTGCTTCTACTGCCTCCCTTGCTCTAGCCCGTTGCCATGCCTATTGCCGCTACAAACCGTGGGCAAGACGTGTCGCCATGGGAGCGCCGCCTCCTAGTGCTTCCTCTATCGCCCATCATTTCCGTCGCCGACCTCAGCTGCTGCGTCATCCCACCGACGTCAGCAAGCCATCGCCATCAAGCCCAGCCACCATGGTCAGCCAATCTCAAGACGATGCCCCGCGCCTCCTTCTCCAACCAGTCATTGCGGTCGCCTTTCTTCATCAACATCCACGCTCCCATCTCCCTCCACTGCACCCAAGCTTCAAGCTTGAGCTCTGCCATACCGAGCTACCGTCTCGTCGGAGTGATATCCTTCCCTAGAGCGTATCTCGCCACTAGCATCTTCACACTTGAGCGAGTCTGTTTTCCCCATTTTCCCTTCTCTCCCACCTCACATCAAGCCACCCTGGAGTTTTCTCTCTCCTGCCGGTGCTCCCAACTCTTTCCTCGCTCCCCACGCTAGCTGCCTCCTTCCTCCATCGGGCCATGTTCAGGATCACGTCAATGCGCCGCCGTTGTCGCTGTTATACCACCGGATGCTGACACCATTCATCCGCTCTTCCTTTGCTTGCTCGACCTGAACCGAGGAAGAAGAAGAGGAACGTACGTAGCCAGGTGTGGGGACGTCGCCACTGCTTCATCCGATCACGTCCTAACTCGGACGACGAACCAAAATTGCGTGTGACAATAGGAAAGATACAAAATTTTGAAGTAGTTAAGATAAGATAAGATATACGGGTGCAGCCATGCGGCCTAATTTGTGTCCTCTGATTTCGTAGCAAACCTGATTTGGGCCGCAGCCTCGGGCCGAGAGCACGAGCCCACGGAGAGTTCGGCCCAGTACATTCTATAGGCCGATCGACGTGGCAGACCCGAGCCCAATACGACCCACCTGCTCCTTCCCTTTCCCCTCCCCCAAGCGAAAGCCGCAAACAAATCCAACCCCCCACCACCGCGGCCGATGTCCACCCTCTCCCCGGACGGCGACTCCGACTACGGCGGCGGCGGCGGCGGCGGCGAAGCAGCCGGAGCAGTGATGGCCGACGTCCTCTCCAAGGGCCGGGAAGCCTGCTACAAGGTGAGCGACCCACCCCCTGAGAAAACCCTACCTCCACCGCCGCGCTCGTTTACTGATGATGATGGAGGCGACGCTTGTCTTTCTCCCTCCAAACCCTAGGCCCGGGACGCCTTCTACACGTGCGTGGAGAAGCACGCGGACAAGAAGCCCACCGAGATCGCCACCATGGGGCTCCTCTACCCCGCCGACTGCAAGAAGTCCCGCGCCAACTTCGTCAACAGCTGCCGCCCCTCCTGGGTCAGACGCGGGCGATCCGACCCCTTTTCACGATTCGCGTCGTTCTCTTGATTTTTTTTTTCTGACATTGGTTTCCTTGGGCAGGTGAAGCACTTCGACCGGCAGTACTCCGCCAAGAAGCGGGTGCAGCGGCTGCTCGACGGCGGCGACGACCGCCGGGGCCCCATCTCGCTCCCCCAGCCGTACACGTTCAAGCAATAGGTAGCTAGCTCTGCTGCTGGTTCCGTCCCTCGGTACCGAGCTGAATTACATCTTTGCGTCGGAGACTGGATGCGGCAGTATTTGTTTCAGATTTGGTGGTGTTAAGATGGAAGGCATATGCCTCTGCTTTCTAGTACGTTGGTATGAATTGTGAATGGATGAGAAAGAACTTGCCTATGACTTTTATCGCAATCAAGATCTTGTTGTGGTAGTGTTTATATCTTTGTTGCAATACATTGGTACTGTCCATAATCCTCACTATAATTTCTGCTGTTTGATGCTTTATTTCAACGGACAAAGTTTAGAAGCAAAGATAAATGGTTCGATCAAGCTGCATGTTGGCCTCGTTTTCTCATTATCATCTTGGTGCTGTTGTCATCCACATAAATGATAATAGTATGGTTAATACATACTCGTAATGTTTCATGTTTGCTGTGTGAGTTCCAAAGTGTGGCTTCAGTAGTCTCATTCGTAATATTTCTCTTATATGATAAAATGTAATTAGTAACCTTGTCTTAGTATGTGATAATTCGAAATTTGAAATACTGAATTGATACCAATGATATGCCACTGTTTTGTGTTATCAAATCAACATCTCATTAAGTAATTCACATATAATTTTGTTAAACTGTAAGATACAGTTATTGTTGAACGCACATGTGTTTTTTGGTTCATATTTTGAGAAAAAATGCTTTAGTATGCAATGTGGATTTCACCTATGCCTACTAAACTGTTGAATGCATCAAAACATCGAGTGTTAGCTCTTGTTGTGATTTTCCTTGGGTCCTATGGACAGATTTTGTTAAGTCGAAATAGACCACTTTGATCATCCATCAAAATTCTACACTGACTTTCATTGGATCGTATTAGGAGATGATTTGAGCATTATTTGACTGTTTGCAACCTCTTATTGCTTTATGCTGTAAATTCCTTGGATGTGTAGTCCATCCAACATACCAGCTGGTCCTTTGCATATGAGTTTTGCTCGGATTTTGTTTGGGCTTTCTGTGAATCTTGCTTTGGGTAGTTCGGCCTGTGATTCATAATACCAGACGACAGATAAGTTGAAAGCAAGATGCCATGTTGATTTGTACGATGACAGGATGTAGTGCCATTTCAGGCTTACTCCCTACATGCAGTTAATGCTTAATGCAAATACTAAAATATGAATTTATGGTAACACTGGGAACTATTTAAACCTTTTTTCTTTTAGGGTGATCTGAAGATTCTGTATTCTGTTATATGCTTGGGTTTCTCCAATAATTCTTCGATTTGTTCATCTGCATTGCTACACTTTTTTCTGGTAAAATGTGTTCATGACCTGCAGTGCTATGCTTTACTTTGGTAATGATGTGTTTGTTTATACATAGATCCATACTTTCGTACTGCCTTTCTAGTTTATACTTTCTAGTAAATGCAATGTCATTTTCTATGCAATATTCAGCTTACACATTTAGGATATCCAGTGTCCCAGGTGTTGCTAGATGTGATGGATAAAATTGGAAATGCAAATACAAAAAGGAGGGTTTACTTAGTTAAGTGAAAGTGTGAAACAGAAAAGTAATGTTACATACAAATGGTGAACTCTTTATGATTCATATGAACGATAAGTTTACAGAGAAGTATATATGAATTGCTTAAATTGCACGTAAATTGTAAAGCTTTCATTGGACTACAAATCTGTGAACCTATTTCATAGAACTACATATTTAAGACATTATTGTGTCACTAAGCTACTCATTTAAACTGAGTAGTCAAATACTACCTCTACTAATTACTATAGTAGGAATTTCTGGGTTTTAATTATTGGGAAATCTATTTCTGTCATGGTAAAGGCTGTTTTAGATTTATCTTTTGTCTTGGCAGAAGGCTATTTTAGATTATTTGTTCACACGACTTGTCATGCTTGCATGTTTGGAATTGGTTATTAGATCCAGTTTTTAGAAATTCCTTCCTATGTATTTATAGGCTTTTGTTTCATTGTCCTGTTGTGGCAGAGGCTTGTTAAAGAATCAAAATTGCTTTTGTAACAAATGAAAAATGCTAAAGTATGCAATGTGATTTTATCTATACCTAGTAAACTGTTCAATGCATCAAAACATCAGGTGGCTCCTGTGATTTTTGTTGGGTCCTATGGGCAGATTTTTTTAAGTAGGGATGGACCACTTTGATTTTGCATGCTTTGACTGTGCAACCTCTTATAGCTTATCCTGTAAATTCTTGTGTCCTATCTGGTAGTCCATGTCCAACATCCCATTCGGTCCTAAACATATGAATTCTGCTTGCTTTTTTTTTTGGGTTATCTGTGAATCTTGCACCTTGGGGGGGGGGGGGTAGTTCATTGGGTTGACAAAAAACATATGATTGAATATTGTTATTTCAGTTTTTTTTGTGTGCAGGGAATCGTTATTTCAGATGATTGAATATCGTATTTCAGTTTGACATATCCATAGAGAACCACTTTTAGATATTAGAAAAGTGAAAGCAAGATCCCATGTTGAGTTGTATGACAGGATGAAGCATTTACACTGTTTCGTGATATCAGGCTTACTCCCTACACAGTTAATGCTTGATACTAAACTATAAATTTATGGCAATACTGGGCACAAATTTAACCTTTTGCTTTAGGGTGTTCTGAAAAGAAAATAATTATGTTATGTGCTTGGGTTTCTCTAATAATTCTTGGATCTGCATTGCTAGGCTTTATTCTGGTAATGCGTTTATGATCCTGAGTGCTATGCCTTATTTTGGTAATGACGTGTTTGTTTATACATTGATTCATAGTGCCTTTGTACTTTCTGGTAAATGATATGTAAATGATATGTCATTTACCATGCCAAATTCACCTTACACATCTAGGATATTTAGTGCCAAGGGTAGTGTCAAGGGTATTGATACTTGATAGATGTGAAAGGTAATAATATGGAGACGCAATAACCAAAAAGGAGGGTTCAGTGAAACAGAAAATTTAATGTTACATTCAAATGATGAACTTGTTTTTACTCATATGAAGGACAAGTTTTACATGAACGTATATATGGTATATGAATTGTAAATTGCGTTAAGCTGCACATAAAGCGTATAGCTTCCAATGAACTACAGATTTACGAACCTATTTCATAGAACTACATATTTAAGACATTTTTGTATCGCTAAGCTACTGATTTAAGCTGAGTGGTCAAATATCTTTACTAATTAGTACAGTAGGAATCTCGGTTCTTAATTATTGGGAAGCCTATTTTATTTCTGGTGTCATGATGAAGACTATTTCAGATTTATCTTTTATCATGTTGAAGGCTATTTTAGATTGTTTATCACACAAGTTTTGTCATTACTTGCATGTTTGGAATTGGATATTAGTTCCAGTTTTGGTGCAAAACTTTTTTTTTGTTCCAACTTGCTGGACTTCCTACCTATTGCTATGCTTTTGGTTTATATGTCCTTTTCAGGGAGAAGCTTGTCAAAGACTCGAAATGCTTTCATAATCAATGGAAATGGAGATGTTGGTTATGACTGGGCTGGTAGTTTGTTTATGTGTATATAAGAATATAATAATAGTGTTTATAGTTCTGTAAATTGGGTTCTTGAAAGTATATCACTTGATAGTTGTAATCATGTATTTGTATTTATGTGAAATTCACACACATAGGAACAATTTGATTTGAGAAACTGTGTTTGATGTGGGAATCGCCACTACCCACAGGTTTTCAGATTCCAAGCTTGTAGCAATAATATTATTTGCCTAGTTTTGGGGAACAATTTGATTTGAGAATCTGTGTTTGATGTGGTAATCGCCACTACCCACAGGTTTTCAAATTCCAAGCTTGTAGCAATAATATTATTTGCCTAGTTTTGGGGAACAATTTGATTTGAGAATCTGTGTTTGATGTGGTAATCGCCACTACCCACTGGTTTTCAAATTCCAAGCTTGTAGCAATAAGATTCTTTGCCTAGTTTTTGGGACTACAATGTCTTTGGGTCTTGCATTCCTTATGCCCTTCTACACCAAATATAAGGCCAGAATTAATTGTACATGATTAATATAAGGCCAGAATAACTGTATATGATTAAAAGGATGAGAAATCTTATCTTCCATCCCCACCCGCCCCCAAGAGTATTTTATTATATCCCCTATACTGATATATTGTGAGTGAATTCTGGGATGTCTTATCTGGATAGGACTCTATGTTGTTTTCATGTTTTGTGTTGGTTTTGGTTGGTAAGGTTTGTTGCTATCTCTATTGATAATGATGGAACACCACTCCATTTAGAATCAGAGTTGAATTGCTTCTATCCATTCAAGATGCAGATTCTAATTCCATGGAGTTAGTAGGGGCATTTTTGTACTACGTGTTCCTTGCTTTCTACTTCTAACTTTTGCCCCCACCAACTCATTAGTTTAACAGTTCCAGCCTCTTTGTTAAATTCTCTTTGTTGCATTCTTTGTTCTTTTCTACAACTATTTTGAAAGTTATGAAACCTTGTGACAGTCAATGACTGCTTTAGTGTTTTATATAAGTTGTGGTGATCATGTAAGTATTGTGATTTTAATGGTACGGGCAAATAAGGACATCAGACTGTCTTTTTATGAAGTTGCTGTCGCACCGGCAAATAATATTGCTCAATATTCTGCACGTCAGTGCTAACAAACACTGTTTAATTTGTAAGTTTATTCGATATGCTGTATATTCTGTAGTCTAGATTTTTATGAAGTTGCTCTTGCACCGGCAAATAATATTGCTCAATATTCTGCACGTCAGTGCTAACAAACACGGTTTAATTTCTTAAGTTTATTCGATATGCTGTATATTCTGTGTAATCTAGAGCTTTCTCTCGCCAAATTTTGTTCGTAGATTCGTACGTTCATTTCCAGTTTTGCTTTGCACCCTACTATTGTTAAGCAAACGGTGCTGCACGATTATATCGGTGTGTGGGTTTTCACAACCTGCTGTCTTGGTAGCAAATTCTGCACAAATCAGTTGTGAACATAGAGAACTTCATAGAAATACTTATTCGGTCACTCTGGTGCACATGTAACAACAACAGGGGTGTATTACAGGGCTTCAGACCAGACAAACCAGCGAACACTACTACTTTGGTTTTACAGCACGGTAAACACTAACACGATATGGACATTTTTCCTGCTCTTTTGCTCTGCTGTTTTCCTCATGCTCGGATGGCAATCCCGCCCTGGACCTCGCCGGCCTCCTCCTCCGTCTTCTCGGCGGCGAGCACCGGCAGGTGGCCCTTCTCCTGGAGGCACTTCACCGTCTCGTACAGCGACTGGCTCGCCGGCCGGAACTCCAGCCCCAGGTCCCGGAGCTTCTGGTTCGACATCTTGTACGGCTGCTTCCTGGGGTTCTTCTCGTCGGAGCACCTGATGGCAACACAGGATCAGTAACAGTTCAGAGGTAATGCACGAAAATTTTGTTTCTTTTTTCTCACATTATCTTGTGATCCGTAATGGTTGGCCATACAATTACGATTCATAATGAAAAGGAACATTAACGTATACCTATTTACATAACAAATCCTATGGCAGGTCGCAAATTGGGGGAATTCGATTAACTAGAAAAATTATACTACCTCCGTTTTTTAATAGATGACGCCGTTGACTTTTTCTCACATGTTTGATCATTCGTCTTATTCAAAAATTTTATGCAAATGTATAAGATATAAATCACACTTAAAGTACTATGAGTGATAAAACAACCCATAACAAAATAAATTATAATTACATAAATTTTTTGAATAAGACAATGGTCAAACATGTGAGAAAAAGTCAACGGCGTCATTTATTAAAAAATGAAGGGAGTATATGGGATTTAATTCAGGTGTAAACACGATTGGCTTGACTTGTGAAGAGCTTGAGATTCCTTGGTCTCCTTGGACCCAATTAAAGCATCCCGAGTTCCTGACCTGACATCATGCTACGTATTGGTGACCCTTGAAGGTAGTACAAGAGGTTTGGTAAGATTACGACATCGAGTTAGACTGTTTATTCACGTACATGTAGTCAGGCATGGTATCTTTGAAACAATCATGTGGACAATTCAGGATCTTGAATAAATATGAGCCAAATTCAGCAAGGTTTTTACGGGATATACCGGTTGAAAAGTAATATTAGCAAGTGGGGTGGGTGCTCTTAGTCCAACCCCGCTGTAACGACGTTTTGACAAAAGCAAAGCTGAATATTCCTGCGTTTTGGTTGCTTGTCAGGTTGTGCATTGAAATCAGGCTATTCCGATTGATTTTGTACTCCTAGATGTCAATATTTATTTCTTGTTTGCGTATTTCTGAGTGAAGCTTCCTCTTGTTTTAGAAAAAAGGAGTTAACATACTCAAGCATGACGTAATTTCTCCTTGATTAATACTATTATATCACTAGCTGAGTCGAGATACTAGAAAGAAGTCAGAGCAAATGATTGCAAGAGGGATTGTCATGCTTTCTCCCAAGTAACCCTTTGTGTGTGGCTAACAAACAATATATGATTAGGTGAGACCCATTAGGACTCAAGAGCTGCATAGACACTGCTCACCAGACGTCTAAGGCAGGGCTTAACTAAAGCAATAATTTTTTTTCTGTTCATAAACAAACATTTTAAGGAAAAAAAATTCTCTGAGAAAAGAACCAAGAAAAATTCCTAGAAAATTCCACTATTCCGACCTACCCCTTCCTAAATGTCCAGGATTGGTAGGACTTCTTCCCACAAGCAGCTAATTCCCAAAGTCAAGAAAGGTTTGCATTTTTGTATGAGGACTTAGCATTTGCATCATCTACGTACTCTTTAGTTATAACGCCTTAAATACTAACAATTATCAGCATTTCCATCTTATGACGTTCATTAGACAACTAATCCTTGTAGCAGTTGGCGGACACTAAAACCATTTCCAAAATGATGTACGATCGCAACATGCAAACTAAAAACTAACACTTCAGGACTCTGAAGTCATGCGTGCATAGGCGATGACATGACACTCTCAAAAGGTTATTAGTAGTACCCAGCCGTACGTGTGATTTGCCAGCGACGACAAAATGCAGAGCCACAGAAACAAACGAACAATCTGACACGTACGATGCGGACCAACTTGGATCGCAACGCGACACCGCCACACTCAATTTTCAGAAAACAAACGCTCTCTTGATGCTACGCATTTCTACCCGATCGATCGTGATGGTGATCTCGATGATGCTGATCTCCATCGATCATCGCTGATGCGATCGAGAGGAAGGAGACAGAGACAGAGTAGAAGATTAGCAGAGGGTTTGGTTGTGGCTTACAGGGGAATATATCTCAACCCTCTCAGTCTCACACCAACTTTGGTCGACATGGACGTGTGCAGATTTTGGTTGTATTTGTGTGGCACAAGTTGCATGGAAAATCGATCAACTTTTGCCACCAACACAAATCTCTCGATCTCTGGATCTCATGTAGATGATCACGATGTTGTTTGTTCATATGTGTATGTAACCTAGTGCGATGAACTTGCTTAGAATTACTTTGAGGCCTTAATTTGAGTGTGGTGTTTTACTTTGAGTAAAAACTCAAGCTAGCTAGCGTCAGACCGGACTGAAACGGAGTTGGTTCACCTGAACCTGAGCTGATGCTGCAATTGGTAGGCAAGTCTTATCCATCCTTACCTACCAATCCCACCAAATTAATTACTAGCAGCTGCTATCTAATTAGTCATTAGTTAATGGCTAAACACCCCTTTCACTGGAGATTAGAGAACAAATAATGAACTAATTAAGCAAACATGAAACTCATAATCAATTTAGACTCTGTTTCTCGTGACCACAGACGCACCAACTACTTCTATAACTATAGTTAACAACACAGCGTACGTTAATGCCGACAATTAAGACAATACCAGTACGTAGTTTGCATGATGTGGTGGGGGTGTAGTACTAATGACGTGTTTAATTAGGAGAAGTCGCAACTCTACTAAGGGAGTAAGGGCATGTTCGGAAAGCTTAAGATTCTGAGAAACAGCTGGTTAGTAGCTAGCTTCTAACTTCTAGTTCATTTTCTGGATTCTTAAACTATAGCTTCTCAAAATCTAGACAAAAAACTAGACTGTTTGAAGAAGTTTCTAATTCTAAGAGAAACAGCAGCAGCTAGAAGCTCCCTCAAACATACCCTAATACGGGGTTAAATTAACGAGTGATCAACTATAGTTAACAGCACATAGTAAATGCTGATACTGAAGAGAGTAGTTAGCATGATGGTGGTAATGTAGTGATGACGTGATTAGGAGAAGTAATTAATTAAGAAGTACTTCCTCTGTTTTATATTATAAGATTTTCTAGTATTGCCTACATTCATATACTCCCTCCATACTTGTAAAGGAAGTCGTTTAGAACAGCGACACGGTCTCCAAAACACAACTTTGACTTCTTGTTTCTATAAAAATATTTATTAAAAGGTGATATATGTATACTTTTATGAAAGTATTTTTCAAGAAAAATCTATTTATATAATTTTTATATTTTTAAACCCAACAACTTAAGAGTTATTTATGATTTATATTCCGAAAGTTTGACTTAAACATTGTCCTAAACGAGTTCCTTTATAAGTACGGAGGGAGTATATGTTAATGAATCTAGATATATATGTGTGACTAGATTCATTAGCATCTATATGAATGTGGGCAATGTTAGAAAATATTATAACCTGAAACGAATGTAGTAATAAAGATGAAATTAATTTTACCTGGTGGGGACAGGGTACTCGGGGAAGAGCTTGGCGAGGATGCGGACGACACCCTCGCGGTGGAGGACAGACTCGGCGCAGAGGAAGCGGCCGGCGGCGGAAGGGGACTCGAAGACGAGGAGGTGGGCGGCGGCGACGTCGCGGACGTC